ATGGTAAAAAGGCACCTCCTGCTCACCCTTCATTAGCTGCCTACTCCTGATAATCACACTAGAAACTTCATGGAAATTACAGAAAGTCATCTTGCTACTCACAAGCTACTCACTTTTGGTAAACTGCATTTTGCATCATTCACTAGAGCAAAGTACACATTCACACATATAAAAAATAATTCATTCCCTGCGTGAGGGCAGAAGAATACTGGACAGCAGCTAAATGCAACAATTAAATAGTTAAACGTTCAGGAGCTGGGGCACATGGAAAACGAGAGCTACCTTTAAAGCTCTTCTGAGAGCAAAGCGCGAAAATAGCTGTTTCTGTTGCATGCTTTGTGTCTCCAGGGGTTTCTACAGAAACACTGTAGAGTGCAAGATCATCTTCCTCATGCCATCTAATATTTTCTAGAGATCAACGTAATTTTCCCTCCACCAGTACAATCTTCTTGAGGCGGTGGAAGGACTCTCATAATCTGCTGGCAAAGCCCAAACTCCTTATTGGGTTACAAAGCACATCTAAGGACTTGGGGGCTTCTCCTCTAGTTCCCTCTGTTTATGGCATGGTGGGACAAGACTACATCAATCAAATCAGAACTGCCATTTTCTAGAACTCACAGCCATTGCATCAGAGATTCAATGACACAAGATACACAGTTGGGAACAGTAGTATGGCACCACGGCTGCAGCACAATTTTTGCATGTGACTTGGGTAAAAATTGCCCTCAAGAGGTGCTAAGTGGTCAAAAAGAAGAAAAAGCAGCAGTGCATTTTTCATTTGGAAACTGCGATTTTCCTTTGGGGGTAGGGGGAAACCTCCTCTAAAACTTAAGACATTTTCCTAGTTCACAAGGGATTATATTTTAAACATGTTTTCTGTCTCATTAGTTCTATAGCACATAAATCTAAGACATTGCTATTGACAACAGATAGGGGAAAGGAAGTAATTACTAATTCAAGCTTCACATATCAGGCTGTATTGAATTTAAACTCTTTTCCTAGAAATATAGGAATAGGAATGAAACACGCATTAATAAAATCACAGGCATCCCACTTACACTGAAGATGAATTCAAATACATTATGAACAAGGTGCATCTAGCACAAAGCTGTCTACAGACACATTAACTTTATTCTAGCAGAGGATATTATTATTTGAGTCCCTGAGATCCCTTAGGAAACATCCACACATTCCCAGCAGTCTGTAAATTAACAAGTGCTGGGAGAGGGAGGAGAGGGCAAAGAGACCCCAAAACCCACTGTGCCTGAGCATCTAACTTTGCCTTCATGATGAGGGGGTTCCACTGCAAGAGCAGTTCAGCCTTCAGCAACGATTAGAGTGGCCATAAGATCTGGCTACTTAGGCACGACTGATTCTACTTTCAGGTTGGTGGGGTTTTTGGTATGGCTTGGGTTTTTTCTTTTTTGATTTTTTCCAATGCCAGAATTACCCTCTTAGCAGAGGTAGTGTTAAACCAGAAATTCAGTGTGTTATCTGTGGGAATTTAAATAGGGCTTTCCCCCCTCTTATACTAAGTTTTTCATTTTTTTCCCCCCGAAGAATCATCATTTGCCACTTACATCAGCTTCCTCTGAGAAACCGCTATGGAGAGCCTTGAGTCTTGGCAGTTGGTAAACCAGCTAAGTTTTACAGCTAATTAAGCCCAAAACCAGTACGCTATGGAAAATAAGGTATTTCAAAAGAATAAAAAATTTGGATTCACCACACAACCCTGGGCCAGCAACAATAAGTAAGAGAGCAACATGCAACATCCTCTTGTGGGACTAGTATCAAGAGATGCTTGTGCTGCAGATTCTTGAACTCATCGGGAAGAACTTGGTGAAGAGAGGGGAAATCTCAAGAAGTCTGTGTGCAGGAGAAAGAAATATAATAAAAATATAATAATAATAAGTAACAATAACAATAATGACAACCAACAAAATTAGTTTGTCTGGTACTCTTACTGTACCTGCAGGGATACAAACAGCCAGTAGAAGCCTTCTAGACACTTACTGGTTTCAAGAAATACACCAGCAGAGCAGGTGTTAACATTTACTTTTATTTATAAAAAAATTGTAGAACATATTAAATACAAACATTTGGAAAAAGCAATCAAGGCTTCGCTAAGGTGCCCAGGAAGAGGAAGACAAGAGAATCAAGAAGCTTACCAGGTTCAGAGTTTTTAAAATAGCTGAAGTAATTACTATAACTTTTCACTGACTTCTTTATAGGCAGTGGTCATTATAGCAACCAACATTATTACTGTCCTTTTTAAAAAAACAGAGATATGACTTGCCATATCTTCCCACTCAAGCACAAAATGTAAGGAAGCAACTCTTTCCAGGTTAAAAACCAGGGTAATAAATACTTATGCATTTACCTACGTTGTATAATACTAAACATTTGCTTATAATCACACATGGGTTATCAAGTTTAGCCCTCAAAAAAATCAATTATACGTTTCAAATCTGGATATCCAATAAAGTGTTATAAACTTTACACATATTCCAGTGAACATCAAAATGAGGACAATGTTTTGAAGTACAGAAACAAAATAACTGAATGCACTGTCTATGCTATAAAGGCCAACTACTAAGAGGTGGACTAGGGTCTAGGCATGTTCCAGATAGCTGGAAAGTCCTACAAACTGCCACTGAAAGGGCTGTCTGGAAGACAAATCATGTCATGTTCTCAGACTGTGTTAGCTCCTCTCCCTTTCCAAAAGGCCAAACATGAGAATTGTAGCTACTCTCTCTTCTGCACCTTGTGGTAATAAAAGAGTAAACTATCAGTCTGCTCCCTACATGGAAAACCTTCATGCAAGTTTTCTTTCTGTTGCTCTTTTACCACTCTCATATGAAGTATGCAGCACACACAGACCACTAAACAAGATGCAGAAGCAAAAGACTACAAAAAATACCTCTTCTGTCTTTTAAAAAGAGAGAAGCACTTCCACTTGCTGACAATATGGCACTCCCTCCGTCTTCCTGCTTTACCCTGTATCTGCATTCAAGCTGCAGCATAATGCACACTGATATGGCTATATGACCCTAAAGCCAAATTCAGTTCAAAAAAAAAAAAATCCTATTTGTGGGATGGACTCTTTGTGGATAACCAAACTATTAAAAAAATCCAGTACAGAATAATCTTGGACACATGAACATTAACAGGTGTCTCCCATTCTGCCTTGTATTTGTCAGAACAGAAAAAAGAACTGACAACTTACCAGCACTCACAGGCTTACTACCGCAAGGACAAGAGTGCCAAAAGCATTATGGGATACATAGTGCTGGCAATCAGCTAGAGGATGGACTGACTGGATACCTGCAAGAGCATAGGCACAGTGCTTCTGACAAAGCTGCCCTTTGGAGACAGGCTGAAGTCGTGCTACATATCCTATTACGGGTAGAGGGTTGAACAAATGGACCAGCATCCTGAACGTGTGTCAGACCCTGTTACCAAGGAAAGCGTTTGCCCATTACCACGTCCATCCTCAGAGCACAGAAGGGACTGCCAATGTGGGCACTGCTGTGCTGGAATTTCTAAACAGACAGTTATTTGCAGGTCAACATCTTCCAGAAGAGCTGAATACTTCTCTTACCAGGCAAACACAGAGCAGTTCCTGGATATACCAAACAGGTAGTTGTTCATTTAGCTACAACCTTGAAAACAAAGTCAATTCCAGCACCTTTCCCAAATCCAACAGCATCCCTTACTGCAACACAGACATGACTATCCTGCTCTCGCTGTGTTCAGTATACTTAAAGCACTTAGTACAATGACGACCCTGACGCAGGCTTGGACTCAGATGGAATGGTCAGGCCAGTTCCACCTCATTCCCTTTTTTCCTTTTTTGGCAATTATTGATATGGAAAATCCATATTTCACAAGCCCTAACATATATTTTCTGAAGGTACTTTACAACAGATATTTAACAGCCAGAGCTTGACTCCAAAAGGCTTGCTCCCATCCCAAGAATTCACTGCCACCCAAAGCAAGCAGGAAATCACATGAAGAGGAATCTTGTGAAGGGATGAGAGGTCAGAGTATCCAAAGGAATTGAAAGAGACAACAGTCTAAATTATTTAGTATGCTGACTGCTTCTCACTCAGTCCTCAGCTGTTAGCACAATATACATCACATTTAAACACATGAGGGTTTTGTTTTTGTTTTTTTAACCTGGCTGTTTGGAAGGTATTTTTTACTTTCTGGAACCTTCAAGAACAACAGGCCTTCCATCCTCTGAGTCAAAGACATGATTTTGGCATCAGTGCCTCCTCCATTCCAACATCAGAAATCAATACGCTGCCAGCATCCCTAGTGCCGTATTTGAAGTCATGCTCTTAGAACACACTTCAGTCAGGCAATGGCTCCATTCCAGAAATACACAATGTTAGCTAGAGTGGAGTATGGCCCATAGTTTTAGCCTAGTTTAAAACATATTTTACAAATCCATTCCTACGAAACTGATCACAGCAAAATATATAGTGGATTTAAAATGACAAAGTTGAATTCAAACAGCTCAATTTTTAAACCAATGAGAAATATGGGAAATTTTAAAACAAAAGAATAAACTTCTCAAATACAGACATTTGTGAAATAAACACGCACACGTACACTCACACACACACCCACTAACTTCATTCAGTGTCAGATTAAGATTACACAAGGCAATTTTCAAGGTTGCATTTACAACCACAATGACAAGAACAGCATTTTTGAGGTAGCTGAAGTCAAAGAGCAAACCACAGCACAAGCAAAGAAATAGGTGTTCACATTCACACCGAGCCCACTCTTTGGAGACACATTATCATGTGCGCAGGAGCATGTGTTGAAGAGGCACGTGTTCCATGGGGAATAAAGTTCAGCGGCACTGGAGACCTGATAAACTATTCTCCAGAGCAGCTTGTGTTGGGAGACCAGATGCACAATCAAGGGACCACGGTTTAAATCACTGCACATCAGCTGAGCTGTGGTAACAGTCTCGGTGCGCTTGGCCTGCGGCAGTTCTGCCGACAGCTCTGTCTCACATGCACTGAAGCAAGTACAACTGTGGCAGTTGAAGCTATTATTACTCAGAGCTGTCTGTCCCACTTCTCTCCTAGATGCTATTGTCGGTAGAAAGGTACACGTACCCATATCTCACCTGTTCCAGTCTGCAGTCTAGCATTCAAGCTCAAGCCCACCTCCACGGTATTACTTGCCAATGGACTGTGAAAAGGAGCAGCAAAGACACAGACTTGAGTTCCCTTCTTCAGGTGCAATAACAACTTTGCCACATTACTAGTGCAGAGATGTCAAACTGCCACAGCTTGAATCACCAGACTTCATCTCTCAGAGCCCTTTGCTAGCCTACAAAGAAAGGAGTTGAGCTAACCTCACAGCAAATGCCAGACAATGTGGGCATATGGGGATAATGGCTGTGGCTGGCTGACAAACTGGCTCAGCCACAGTAACTGGATCACGCTTCTGGGCACACAGAGAGCTTGATCCTGCCCAAATTATAAAAATGCGTGAAACACAGTCATAAACACACACATAATGTAGTATTTTCACCAAGAAGCTTTCTACAAATCAACTGTTTGCATGATTACTGCTGAGAGTCTTGAAGATGGGATGGAAATTATGGCAAGATGTTTTCCAAAGGCAGAAAGAAAAAAAAAAGAAATCAACCTCCTATAATTAGGTCTCTGTTGTGTAGTTGCTGTATGAGAGAGATGGCACAGATGAGAAGTTGTTATTCCACTGTCTTCCTCCAGTGTTCTGCTGCAACTCTGCCTGCTCTTTATATTTGCTCAGAAGATTTTTGGCTTCTTGCAGATCCTGAGAAGAGTTTTCCCCGTATTCTTCTTTCAGCCACTGCCTGAACTGCAGAAATTGAACATACATTAAAAATATGATGAAACAGTAGGATGAGACTGATGCACAAGTAATACTCCCTCCTGTCCTGCAGAATTTCAAGAGCTTTTAAGAACAGAAGTAGTTTAAAGAAAAGCGCTCCAAATATTGCATATCCTTCAATAGCAGCACAGGCTACATAGGCACAGGAACACACATTTGAAATCACCGAGATCCCTTACATCCCCTAAAATGACACACTTGCATAACAGCTTGACTGACTGGAGAGATACAGAGTAAGGAATACCCACCAGGCAAGGATGGCCTGGATTTAAAAGCACCCTCCTCTTATCTCCACAGGTAGATATTGTATAAATGCACCTATCTCCATAAGCAGATATTGTATAAAACCCTTTCTTTCCTTGATGGAGACCTGCCAATTGATAGCTCCCCCTCACATTACAGGGAAGAGTGGAAGTCATATATGTTCACTTTCTCTGTTCCACTCAACTTTATAGACCTTTATCAAATCCTTCTTTGTAATTTCTTTGCCAATTGAAAAATTGGAGTCCACTCAGTCATTCCTAACAATCTTGTTGCTCTTCTCTGCAGAAGCAGCAAGTAGACACAGACCCCAACTATTCTGTCCCAGTGGGGATGACAGTCCTGTGATCATTTCTCAAGTTTTAACTTTTCTAGTTTTGTGCTGTTTGGGGCTCATGGAGAGCTTTATCCATAAGACCATTTACTAGGACATTGGGAGATAAGACTTCGACATAGTTGCTCCCTCCCATTCCTAAAAGATCGTTAAGGTCCTGAGTCAAATCTGAAGCTGCAGGCTATCATGTGGAAGGTTTGGAATTGGTGCAAAGCACCAATTGACCTCTGTGACTAAACCCCTTCCTGTAAGACCAACATCTAAAGGACGCCATTCCAGAAACCTCACAGGATACCACCCTATAGTGGCACAGCAAAACACCCATGCTACTGAAATCAGAAAAAAGTTCATGCCCTTGGCAGATGGCATTCTTCCACTGAAATCAGGTGTGTAAACAGACACCTGCTAAGGATGTGGTTGCTGTTAAGAGACAGTAGGAAACTACAGCCCAGCCAGTGACTACAGGTGGATATTTCTTTTTGCAACCTACAGCCTCCCCCTCAGTGAAAAGAGGCAGAATGTGCCGTCCATGGTGGATGAAAAAAAGAGAGACGTTACTGTCTTTATCAGGCTATTTGCATATAGCCTTAATTGTCATTGCTGTTCGCCCAGACCAATTAGAGTAGAAATGACTGTAAGGGAGGAAGGAGACAAGTCTGGAAAGTCCCCCCTGACTTTTGTCTCTTAAAAATCAGTTACTCTACCATTTACACCAGTTCCAAACAATCCAGGAAACATTCAGTTAAATATTAAAAAAACGCAAATATTTACAGTTGCAAACTGCATCATGCAAAACAAAGGGTAATTTCTAAACTCTGAGCTTTCTGCAACAGAACGACAGGGGTGGAATAAAAAAAGAAAACCAACATCTTAGCCTAAATGTATTTTGCTTTCCAATTCTGGTTTGCCTCTGTTGTTGTTGATTTTTAATAAGCACAACAGGCACAGAGAAGAGCAACATGCTGAGCAATGGAAACAGAGGGAATGGCCAGAGCAGGTTGTTAACATAAGTGGAAGTCACCGATCACCCACGGGGAAAAGGTCTTTTGCGTGGGATGGTTCTTTTTAGGGGTAAGAAACTGATTTTTTTTTTAAATGAAAACCACTTTGCATTCTTATTGTTCCCACAATTCACCTAGTCCTACAAAGCCTTCAAAGCCTAAGAAAAAAAGGGTCAGATCTGAGGCTGTTCTACGCATCAGAAAATGTATTAAGTCTTAGACACAGGAGGTGGAGGGGGGAACACGACACATAAGTCATAATGAGAACCCAGTTTAACTCCTGGATAGCAAAGATTTCTGATTATGATTTCTTTCCCACTTACCATTCCAAATGAATGTTTTGGGCGGGTTGCACTATTTTTATGCAACTGGTACTTAGAGTTTGGTCTGAAGTTGGAGCATTCTTAGCAACTCTGTTTAGTTTTTACCCTGCTAAAAGTGTCAGTCTTCTATTGCGCCTTAGCACGCATGAAGCAATCACTGTGTTGAGAGCACAGCTGGGCAGGAGGTGTGTTTAGATGTTTTGTTTGGTCTCTTCTCCCATCCAGCATTCCCTGATACCTTTCACAGTTCTAGTCACACCTCCCCACTCGAGCAGGCTTGGCCAAGAAACCACTCCCCTCAACAGAAAACAGGGACTCAGATAAACCAGCCAGGCCTTAGCATAATAAGAAGTAGGCCATGATCTGAGACTTGGGGTTGTGTTTTGCAGCTAATTTGTCTCTAATTCACTTACCTGATCCACACTGTGTTTTTCAAAGTCCTGTAGCTGCCTCTGGAAGCCCATGTTAGGATTGGCACAGGATCTCGCTGCACGCACAACAGACAGTGCATCTTCCCAACCAAAGTCCGTGATGGTCATGATATAAGCAACTACCAGTGTTACACTCCTGGAGACACCTGCAAGGCTGCATGAAAAAGGAGGTGAAATAAATTGAAGTAGTGCTGTACTTCATCTATCACAGTTAAAGCATCACTTCCCAACATCACAGCAGACTGCTGTTTTGCTTGCCACCAGGAAGAAATGTTACAGTATTTGAGTTGAAAGGTTTTGGTGCTGCTTTTTCAAATGCATCAGAACTAATCTATGACAAGTCTGAGAAAGTGGGTTCTGAGTGGTAAGTCATATGAGACTGGAAAGGAAAAAATAAGTATTAAGTCTCCACAAAACCAGGGGACAGTGCACATGTTCTAAGTTATATTTGGTTTTTAATAAGCTATAAGTCACCCACTTTCTTCGGCATATATAGATCGCAGCAGTGAAGTAAGACCATTCCTTCTCCACCACAAAGGCTTCAATTCCATGTGGCTGAAATGAACTCTAGCTGAGCTGCTAAAGTATGTATGTCTGGTTGCTTGAGCTCTTTTCCTCTTTCTGCTATCCATGTACTGTGCAACTTCAACTCTTAAGACTCCAGTTTCCCCACATGAAGTGCTGCGATAAAGTAGCAATCATTCACTATTACTGGTTTGACAGCGCTGGATAAAAAAAGTCCCAACTATTACTACTATGAGAATAAAGCATGTGTTTGAGTTACATTTGTACCAGACTCTTTCACTCGGCATTTTGAGAACATTTTACTCTTTTGAAATGCTTCACAGGTTTAAATATGTGTTTTTAAAACTGTCAGAATTCAGACAAATTATCCCTGTTTAATGTACATGCAGACCGACCAAATGACTCATGCACAGCCCTATAATGAGCCAGCAGCAAACTTGAGGATTTATGCCCAGGGCCTGTCTACAAGTCCAGTGTTCAAACCATGAGATGACTCTGATTCCAGATAAAGACTTAGATAAGTCACTTGGACACACAGCACAACGACTACCACCAATAGCAGAGAGCAAGAAAAAACCCAGGGTGGGATTTCCTTTTCTATTCTCTACAGTCCCAGGAGCAGCTCTCCAATCAGAGACTTGCTATTAACAAATGCGATGTTTGAATGCTTCAGTGGTTTACAGAAAAAAAGGGGAAAAAAAAAATCTGTTCAGAGGAAAATGTTTTTAACAGCTCTGAAGTCACCAAAATAGCTGTTACAGAAACTAATCAAATTATTAGCATTATGGAACTAATCTTTAGAAATACAGTGATTAAAATAATGCTAAATAAATAATATGTCTCTAGTCAATATATCTCTAGTCAAATCAATCCTACAAAAAGATTTGACAGGAAGAGAATGTCAGGAAGAATGTCTTGGGCTCCTTTTATCTCTGGGAAGCTTCCCACCCCAGTGACCCAAAAATCCTAGCATGAGGCTTGGCTTTAATAGCATTTGCAAATCATCTGGGGCTCCTCAAATAAAGGCAGCATTTCAGCCCAAGAGGATTTTGCTGTAAAAAGGAGGTGAACACTAACTTATCATTCAAATTATGAACATCCAAATCAAGGTAGAGAAACTCTTAAGACATATTTTTAGCAAGTGGTATACATACCAATGAACTAGGCAGCCTTCACCTGTAAGCCGGCACTCGTGAATAAATTTTATGCTCTCTCTGAAATGCCTTGCCCTGAAAACAGAAGCAGAAGGAGAATAAACAAAGTGCCCTATTTAGTAAAATCACTACTTAGAAAGAGAAATGTATCTGAAAGCTCACTTAGCGCTGTTTCTAGAATTTAGAACTGAATACACATCTTAAAAGGTAAAAGTTTGTGCCTGCCAATGAAACTCAAAACTCATTGGCATAGTTATTCTCCACTCTACATGAAGAAGAAACTAGTATCTTAGGCACTACAATGTGATAAACATTAATGCTTTATTCTGATGACTGCCAAGTCTGTGTTTCAGTTTGTGTTTAAATCCTCTTTAAACTAGTAATTTGACCCAACATGGCCTTGCATACTCTCAGATGTCAGATGAAACTCAGCACGACTACACGAACAGTTCAAGGCATGCTGCCTCTCACAAAGAGGCATCCACTACCTGCTACTCAAACTTAACTTTGACTTCTCCTCCCTCCTTCAAACCATGTACTAGGACACATCTAAACGTTATGACTTTCTTCTTTGCAACATGAAATCTCTTCCTTTTGTCCCTGCTATGAAAAAATTATCAATTCAAGGCCTGGCTTCTTCAGCTACTTCCAGTCTCCTCTCACACTGCAGTAGCCCTTCTGACTGCCTTTATTCAGAGTGTCAGCCAACCCCTGCCTACAGCCTACCTTTTTTAAAGCAGTATAGGAAAAAGCACGGAGAAGATAAAGACTCGGTTTACAAACCTTAAGGTTTGTACTCCCATTATCCTCTCATTATGCCTCCTCATTTTAAGTGGGGTAAGTCTGAAGGAAAGTAACCGGGCAGCTGTCATCATCTCGGCAAATCTGCAGCATCACCTCCCTACATCCCAGGTAGCTCACCCTGCCTCTGCCTTTCAGACTGCAAAGCCTTTGGGGCTGCCTGGAATTCATCACAGGTGCAGGGAGCACCTCTTAGTTCACTAGAGTTGGAGTTCACTGTGGCCTTTGAGTGCTCTTCTAGTTTAAGCTTGCAAGCAGTAGCGATGTTTGCAACACAGAATAGAGAGCTTCTGCAGGGGCAGTCAGGACCAGGCTCATTGGCAAAGATGAACCTGAAAGCACACTGCGCTCAACACCCATGAAACTCAACGTCCTGTATTCAAGATGTTTCCCCTCTCAGTGTGAATATTATACCACAAGGGTAAAAGAAAAAACCTCAGCCCAGCATCAGCAGCCGCACAAAAATCAGGAATACCCACATAAAAGGAAGCTTCCTTTCCTGCCCAACAGTGCAGCTGCTGATGCTACAAACACTCAGACCTGGAAGAGGACAACAGTGATGCAGTAGAGTGATAGTGCCTATGGAACTTGCAAAGGCAATGATGTCTAAACTGAAATATCCAAAAAGAGGGATCCCAAAGCCCAGACAGTTCTCCAAGGCAGTTCTTGCATCACTGGATACAACATGGAGAACACAGCTGGAGAAGATTTGAGTGATTTACTTGGAAAATTTCAAGGCACTATGCAATCCCAAGCTTTAGGACAGCATGTCAGCTCAGGATTTTGTTTCTCAAGAACCCCATCAAGTATGTGGAACAAGTGAAGAAACTTTACAAATGCACTTCTACTCAGACTGCCATTCCAAAACATTTTCACCGGCTGAGTTCTAACAGATCACAGCACTCAGGTCTGTCTGGGGGGCACAAGCAGCTTCACGTAAATGAACTCAGAGGACAAATGAGACATCGGGCTGTACGTGCAAGAAGTGCTGCTATTGCACAATGAAGGAGCACTTATCTGATTGAACAGATTCAGTCAGATTAAACTTGGTTAGGGCTGGATTGACAGCATCCCAATCTTTTCATACATCCATCTTTTCTCTTTCTCTCTAGAAAATCTGACCAACAGCACAGCTCCAAGCATGAGTGAATTCATTTCAATGGTTAGCACAAGTTTTGAAAAATCTCTGCAAATGAGCATAACACCTTTGCAAGGTACTAAATATAGCTAGCAGTGAACTCCATTCACTCAGTTTTATTCACCCTTCCTTATTGCTGACACTTGGTCTGCCGATACACTGTCAAGTGTCAGTGTTTACAGGCATTCATGAAAGCAAGAGAAATAGCCAAGCTTAGCGCTGCTCTGTAGAACCATAGCACCTCCTTACCTTGAGTCAGAGAAAAGGAGAAATGTACTCCTCCACAACCTCCTGGTATCAGGGTCTCTGCTGGCTCCAGCAGACACAATTGCCTAAACTAATTTTCAAAGTTATGGTACAAACCATATTTACATGGCAACTAAGCTTGAGGGCAAATTAGCTGTGTGGCAAATGCCACAGACACAAAGAATGGTAAGTCTTACATTAACCACAGAACAGTTGATTACCATCTGTAACAGCAAAGCACTTGACAAATGCGTTGATTTGCAGCCTGTTGGACTGAACAGTTACTTCAAAACAATTTATTATACGATATCTGGCTTTTACATCTCCCAGCTTAAAGCTGGGTCCTGAACTGCATCATCTTCACAGTGGGAAAACACCACAGGAAGAAGAACTAGTACAGTGACCCTACCAGCATGTTGTAAAAATTATCTAAACTTACGCATTAGCAAACTGGATAATCCAAAACTAGGCTGAGCGCAGAGTTATGATACCAGATCCACATATTCATTCGTTGCTAGTCAGACTTCTGCAAGTATTATAAAGGTTAAAAATAAAGCATCCAAATCAGATATGAAGAAGCATCTTGATGTTTCTTTTGGCAATGTAAATGCAAAAATTCATCTAAATTTATTTTCTTAATAGGTTATTTGGCTTCTGTATTATTACCACTAGCAGTCTGACCATTGGAGGTTAGTTCCTAAGAAACACGTAGCCCAAGACAATTAGCTGGAACAGAACAGGAAGGGAAGATTTGATTTCTATAGAACTTAACTTTTTAGTAACAGGTTCTATAGGCGATAACATTTCTGAAGAAGTCCAGGGCCCAAGGTAAAATTCTCACAGTCCAGGGAAAACACTAATTTAATGCCTAGGAAGCATCTCGAGTCTAAAAAGAAACTACTTGATTTCTATGCTTGGTAAGGGCAGAACATGGGAGTAGAAGCAAGCTTTTGGCCACTTTAGTGACCACCCACGGTAGCAGGGGAATCCCTGCTGTATTTCCCTGGCAATTCATCCTGCTGAGGAAGGAAGCTCCACTAAAAAATCTTACTAGGAGTACATGTGCATTAACACATAAGAAACCAGAAGTTTCCCTCACAAAAAACTAAGCTGAAGTGAATTAAGTGCTCACAGTGGGTAATTCAGTGGGTAAATGCTTTCAGTTGGACCTTATCAACCTGACAGGGGTTGTAAAGTAGCAGCAAAGCTTCTGACAAATTTGCTATTCAGAGAGACAGCCAAGACAGCAGTGTGTATCTGGTCAGTTTTGCCTGTCAACCATGGCTAAGAAAATGCAAGGACCTGCAATACAGCATGCCGCTATTTATTTTTTTTCCTGACATCACCAGAATCCCTCTTCTGAAAGCAGAGGGCAGACACACAAAGACATTGCAGAGGGACCAATTCCCTTTCCTGTTCCCTGGCTATCCCCGCCTCTGTAGAGGGCACAAGCAGCACAGTTAACCAGTCCTAGGTAAGATTGTGTCAAATCCTCATAGACTGAACAAAGACAGCTTCCTCTTGCTTTCAAAAGATTGTATGTGCAAACCAAGAAACATTGCTATTTGCAAGCACCATGGTTTGATTTTACTTGAAGATCTGGACTGTCCAAAGCAAAAAAGAAAAATTGGTTACTTATCAAGTTTTATTTAAGTGATAAAATGTATCAGTATTGGAAGTAATTATGTTTGCTTGCAACCACCTGATACCAAAGCAACTACTTCAGATGCCTGCAGCATAACAGAAACAACACCCATGCAAATGTTGTACCTTCTTGCTGAAGCTCTAAAAGCTTTGGTACTGCGCCAGACAGTTCAAGCGCCAGAGGTGGTTTTTCAGTATAACTCCTCAATATTTAACAGTGAGGGAGGGGCTGAATTGTACATTGATTAACATTCATCACAATTGCTGTCTTTTCTATTTCCATTCCCAACTGATCCAGATCTCTATTAACAAAGGAAGCAGGTTTACAGAACATTTTCAGAAATGCTACGCAGATCTCAGCATACCAACAAACAAATTAATATGACAACATGTAAATGTTTCCCTCTAATCTTAATCTTTTTTCCTTCACAAAAGGATTTTTTTAAAAATTAATTTATTTTTATTATTTAAGTATTAAGGCCACAAAAGTTATCCATGACAAAAGCAGTTAGCTGTCTGTCTTCTCATTACAGATGTCTTGAAATTCAGGGTTTTGGGGTTTTTTTTGTTGGGGGCTGAAGGGAGGGTTGTGTGTGTGGTGGGTTTAGGTTTTTTTTTTTTTCCTCCTGTTCCTCTAAAATCACAACAGAAATGCAGAATTACAAGGCAACTCACCACACGTCAAATGGCACCCTGGAATATTTCTAGGGTACGAGAAACACACATTCTAAAAATATCCCCCTGAAAGCATGAGCCAGAATGTTGCTATGATGTGAGAGAAAAGCACTGCTGCATTTCCTTCCGTACCTGACAGGCCTCTTTCAACTACTTGTTTCTCTACAAAATTTGGTAGCAGGATGTGGCTGAAACCCCCCTCACCTCTCCCCACCATAAACAGTGAGCTCTAGAAGAAAGAGTTGGTCACCATCCAAGTTATCTTACAAAACCTGTTTTGATTTCTCTTTGGAATCAAGACTTGCTGTGCTGAATGGTTCAAAACATTAAAACCAAGGGAAGGTCAACTAGCATTTCATGAACATTAGCGGAGATGAGAAAGAGCAAGGCTGGGACACCCTAGTTTCAGTACATATATCCTCAAGGCAAGAGTCACCGCAGCGCAGAAACTCCTTGCCATGCCAGCCTACTGCTAAGAGCAGCGGAGTCTTCTAAGGCAGGTTCAAGAAGTCCAGAGAGGATAGTTGCAGGGGTAGTTTGCACACTGAGACTTTATCTTGATGGCCCACTGTGAGGAATTTATTTCAACCCTTGAAACACCAGCCTTCATACCTCCTTCAAATATTTTCTTCTCATTAATGTCTGGAGATAGCACTAACAAAAAAAGAGAGCAGTCAAGCAGAAAGATTTACAAAAACAATGGCTAGAATACACTGGGACTAAATTAGGACCAGACTCACTAAGGAATTCCTGAAGCTTAAGGCCACAAATGAAGAAGACTGTTTACATACTGACCCCCCTACAAACCCTCACACACAAAAAGCAGAGCCTGAATCAAAGTGGCTGGAATAAAGCGTTACTGTGTTTTCTTAACAGACTGAAAACCACATTTGTGTAATACTTGTGAGAGATCAGAATCGTATCTTTCAGCTCATTGTAAAACCAGCATCATGGCATGAAGGGATTTCTCGGGTTTTGTGATTTATTTTTAAAGAAAACTTACAAGTTCTGTGAGGGTGAGTTAATGCACAGATACTTCACTCCCTGTGTAAAGAAGCAAAAAAGGAATGAGAAGAAAATATCCAAGTTAAAGACATTTATCCACCACCGTGCAAGTCCTGCTCTGGAGTGGTACAGTTTTATTGACTTTGAGGAAGGCACACCATTATCCAGACAAGCAGATATCATCTCTATGCAGCCAGATTTTAAAAGTTTTCACATCTGCTTTGTTGCTAAGACACCAGGACATAGCTTAGTCACACTTATCCCAAGGCCCAATAGCAAGCTTTTTAAAATAGAAACACCTTTACTAAAAAGGCGTAAAGCTCTTTTTCGAGGAACTAGGTTGCATCTTCTCCTGCCCTTCCCCTTCTCTAAGCAGATGTTACAACCTAAAATTGTGAGAAGCAATTTCTTTTAATCCCATGCAATCACTTTTCTTTACCTAGCTGATAAACCAAACAAAATGCATTTCTGAGAAGAAACACGTTTGTGGAATGGGTTTTGTTTTTTATTTTTTTGGAAACTTCAAGAAGAACAACTATAAAGCTGAGACTTTCTTCCACAGTTAGCCTCACTTTTAGTCAGCTGTCATAACAAGGTACAAGATCAATTAGGGAAGTTAGATAACCATTTCTGATGCATTAAAAATGTTACCGGGTATATTTAAAACAACACTATAATCATACACTACTGCTTTGCATTGTCAACGTTCATTTTAACTGTCATTTTTTTTTCAATGCTTGTTTTGCTCCTATGACTGTTAAGCAAAAGAACACTTCTGAAAGCATATTTAGCTAACTTCTCATATAGGACTTCCAAGAATATAGGCTGCAGCTCAGACACACAAAACCAGAAATCATTCACTGGAAGTCTTTTGACTTGTCACATTTATCTATAAGAGATCCTTTGCCAACAAGGTGAAACACAACATACACCTACCAGACATTTCATTTGCCAGCTGGGGTGTGTGGGGGTGGAGAGTTTGGGGAATTTTCATTGATCAGCTGTAATGACTACCCAAGGTGACGTCTTCTCCAACACCACCTTTACTTTGCTGGCTCAGGAACCCCTCTTTAATTTCCTCTACATGCCCTTTGTTACTTCACTTGCCTCCTTATACCAAAGAGCAATCCCTTTTGTAAGGGGTCCAGTCCCCTAGCACCATGATACATCATGCTAATCCTCTACAACAGGCATGAACTTCACCACTGTGCCAGAAAGGATGTGGTCATACCTCACCCGTCTCTTCACCACCTCTTACACATGGCACCAGCCATCTTCTCAACCCACCCGAACTCCTTCAGCCAGTATCTTCTTCACAGCCACACAGATCTGAGAGCCTGCCCTGTCCCCTCCATGTTTGATCAAACTCCCTTGCTCTGACAGGCCATCCCCAGCGTGCCACAGCCAGAGGAGAGCTGCTACTGTCTATGGCCTTCTGGTTTGGGGAAGGCAGAGCCAGAGCAGGGAAGGCTCTGCAGGCAGTCCCAACCATGGAGACAGAGATGTGGCTGTGCCTGAGAAGGGAGAAGGCACCATCAGGACAACACCAAGCCAGCGACAGCACACGGCATTTAGCACAAGAGCTGCATGCCAAAGGCAGCTGAGGGGAGAGAGAATGAGAATGAAGCCAGTTTGCAAACCAAAGCAGCTTGCTGTTGGAAGCAACAGCATCAGCAAGTAATAGTTCCTCCTGCCCTGTATCAGCAGAAGGGATGCCTGCAGCAGGAGAGCAGGATGGTTCCACAGCCATAAGCTGATCCACAACGGCTTGCACAGATACGTTCATCTACAAAGGCGATGTAGCAGCAATACATACATTGATAGGCTGTGGAGCCAAAGATGATTATTATATTGTGACAGATTAATTACGATAATAAGCATCTTGTATGACACATCTGAGAGGTTTATCTCGGACACTAGTATCACTTCAAGTGAGTCACTCCAGTAGAACGAGGGCCTGTGACCTGAAAGTAAATTTACATGTTGCTTTTTCCCCCACACCTCTAGACAACTCCATGCTACTAACTCTGCACCACCAAGGGAAAAACCAGGAAGAAAATCAAAGGTATGAGACAGCTTAACTCTGGAGTGCACTATATGCAAGAAGGTTTGCTCCTCCAGCATGCACTGACGCAAGTTGTTCCACAGATTTCAGAAGCTATGGCACATGCTGAGTGCTTTTCACAGGCTGAGTGCAGAGGGGTTTTCAGATCATGTTCACTTTAAAAGCAGAAGTAGCACCAGAACAAGTTTAAGACCCACATTGTTCTTTTTTTGTCCTGGCTGGCTAGTTCCCACTACCACAAGCACAGATGAAACTAGCCTATGAGAGACCACACATGGTACTGAATGGCTCATCCAGAGGCTGATCTTGGAGGTCTTCAGCGCCAACAACTTCAGTGAAGCCCACAGCACTCTTTTCACTACTGTGCTTGCAAATGCTCAACACATCAGCCTATCAGCCTTACTAATATAGCTTCTCTGATAGGAGATAATTAAAGTTACTGGAATTTGGTATTTTGACAGATGCGTGTCACTTGCATGGTGTTTTTGGAAGGCTGTGGTGATGGACTCCTCCCTGTAAGGAAATAATCGCACACTCAACTCAGAAATAGAGGTGAGATTTCTAAAGTACTGTGCAGTGACCTAACCCGATTCCCACAAAAATCAACAGTGAAACTCTCAGTGACTTCAACCCAAACAGAGTTTGGCCAAAGTTGGTAACTCCTGAGGATCCCACCCTACCATCAGGTTTTACTTCTCTTGCTTGAAATAATAATGATCGTAATACGATTAATTCATTGTAATTGGAGATGTGAAATACAACGATGACAGAAGATTGAATGAGGCAGGCATTCATAAATGTAACTTCAAGGGATTTTCTGTATAGATACTCATATGTTGATTGCTGGAATGAGCTTTTCCTCACATACGCTGGATAGACTTTAGTATTTAAACATATTGGCAATAGGAAGATACTTAATTACTGAACCCTGCTATTTGTGACTGTTCTTTGAAAAAAAAAAAAAAACACAACACTACCCAGGATCATATTATTTGTATATTTGTACCCCAAGACACTGCTGTCCTTCCTGTGCACATAACCTGCAGATAACATCTAAGAACTGTCCCAAAGGGACCTTTCAAAGCAGAACAGTGTATGCCAACCGAACAAGTAAATACCTACAACATTTTAGATGGGGTACTAGCATGCAAGAAAGACAGAGGCATCACAATTTTATTACTTAGCAGTTTGCCATTCTGAAACTGCAAAGTGCAAGATGTAAGGAGGCAACAATCACCGAAACAGCGACTAAAACAGATCAACCTAAATCAAAAGATTGTTGAAGAGTAAAGCAGACCAGCTCCTACCGAAAATTTCAACATTTCAACAAGCTCCAAATCAGTAACTAGTCTACAGTTTCATTAAATAAACTTGAACCTGGTTGCAAATGCAATAGCCAAAGCTGAAACAAAATTGCATATTAATAAAGATGTAAAGACAAAATACAAATTTGATGTCGGCCATATGGAAGTCTTTTATTTATTAATTTATTTTTAAATTAACTCTGGTTTGTTCCCTAGGAATGATAATTCTCTAAAAATTATTCAGTAGAGGAAGAACAGAACAACTCAAAACAGGTATTGTACCACTTCACCTATACATGCTAAATTAGGTGCCACAGAATAGCTAACTCATCCCAAAAATATGGTATTTGTTCAAAGCAAAGAGAAAAGCTTGCAGTTAAAAAAAACTGATTCAAAGATAAATATTATTTTAAATCCTATATTAATAGATTAACTTTATTTATTGAAAACTGCTGTTAATATGTTGTTATTCAAACATTTCTTCAGCTGACAACTGTGTCAGTCATGTCTTATCTCTACAAACAAGCTTTTTTCCCAGATTATCCATTAAAAAAAAAATCAATCCAACATTTTTAATTAAACAGAAGTTATGCATGTTCTTACATAATAAAACATTCCATACATATGGAATGTGTTCAAACCCAAGCCTCTAGATCAATTATATGCTGAATACAGCTTTCTTCTGCTCATCTTGATGCACTACTACTTTCCACTTGTTACTTTTAAATCATTGCTCGCTTTCCTTTCTCCAATCACCTTTACCACCAAACACCCCTACCCTCCAATACACACACTTCTCTAAACTCTTTCCTTATTATTCACACGATGATCCTGATACCCTCATCAAATAAAAGCAGCACTCCCATTTCTTTTGAAATTAGATTACCTCAAAAAAAAAAAAAAACAGTAAAATAAAATAATTTACTCTTCTGTTTCAGCAACCACCAAAACTAGATTTCTGTCTGCCTTCGACTCTGAAACTAAATGCTACAGTTAAACCGATACAGTGAGAGCTAACAAAACTAGAGCAAGTATTCTTATTTCAAGATTGTCAAAGTTGAAACAAGCGAGAGTTAAGTAAAATTTCTAAAATTCACTGTTATTTGAGAAACAGTGACAGTACTTGCACAATTTCATCACAGATTCTAGAACCAAGTCAGTTCTGCTGCACTGAGTATTGAGGTAAACCAAAAAGGTTTAGGCACACACACACATATGCAGAGATTTTACACTACAATTACTAAGGTATTAATGGAATTGCAGTAATTTTCAAATTTCTGATTTTAGAGTTCGATCTACTAAGACCAGAAATCAAAGAGTTATCTCACATTTGGAAAAGTCAGTAAGACTATAGAACAACACCTTCCTAATATCATTAGCTTTTCAAAAAGATAATTATATCTTTGTTATTAAATCCAGTATTTCATTAAGTGCCCAGGAAAAGTAACAGTCCAGTTTGTCCAGAACATTCTGGTTCTATTCTACTTACCTATAATCTATTTTAAAAACTCCAGCTTCATCTTAACTAAACTTGTAAAAACTGGCATTTGGGTTTTTTTAGTAGAACATGTAGAATTTTGCAGTAGCAAAATGGCACATCTGTAAGTCAGATAATGGGTGACTGAGAATAGGTTCTCTAAAGAGCACGCACAAATTCAATCACACAATAC